TGGTGACGTCTCGTACTCGCAGATAAAATTAGATAGGATGTATGTTTTTATAGTAAAATTTTTCTTAACATAGAAATGGTGATGACAATTCCAACCATTTTAGATTAACTTTACTAAAATGCAACTTGAGATATAATATTAAAATAATTACAAAAAAAATTCAAAGTTAAAAACCTAATAACCAAATACTAAAAAATAAAATTAAAATAATAATTTTAAAAAATATAATGTCAAGGAAAAAAACTTAAATCAACACCAACCACTTACTTAACCCATATCTTGAGAGATTGAAATAAAAATAAAAATAGACTTTCAAAAGAAAAATTAAATATAAAAAATCAATTTCAATAAATAAATAAAAAATAAAAAAAACAACCTAACCTAATCTAGTTAAGTTTACTTCCTCTCTTTTACGATAACCTAATACAAAGAAAATTTTAATGTAAAAGTTAAAAAAAAAAGATCAATATCATAAAAAAAAGTCGAGGGAAAGAAACTATAGTCAAAATGATTTAACTTGACTAATTCTAGCTAAACTTGACTAACATGTACTCAAGATAACCAAACTAAAATAAAAAAAAATCACAAAGGTCAATAATTTAATATGAAATAATAAAATTAAAAAAAAATCAATCTCATAAAAAAATATAAGAAAAAAATCCAAGTCAACTTTAGTTAACTTGACTAACCTATTATTTGGAATATGAAATCGGGATAATTCAACAATAGAAAAATAGAACAAACAATGAAGTCATGGGTCTAATAACCAATATCAAATAATAAATTTGAAAAAAAAAACATTAATTTTAATAAAAAACCTTAAAAAAAGGTCAGATTTAATCAAGACCAAATCATGAGACATGGATTACCTTATAGGAAGGCAATCGTGAAAAAATAACAAAGTAAAATTTCTAATTATAGAACAATTTAAAACTCAAACAATATGGATCAAATACAGTATATAAATAAAATGAAATAAAATAATTAAAGGCTAAATTAGAAAACAAAATAAAAAAAAAACATAATAAAAAGAATGAGGATCAAAATTGAATGAAAAATTAAAAAAAAAAAGTAAAGAGACAACATCAAATAAAAAGATAAATCAAGAAAAGGATAAAAAAAATATCAATCAAAATAATAAAGACCAAAATTAGATTGAATAAACAAATGCAATAAAATAATAATGGACAAAATTAAAAAAATAATCAGAAAAAGTATATAAAACATTGAAGAGCAATCGAAATTAATAGGACTAAATTGAAAATAAAAATAAAATGAAATGAAATATCCAATAATGAAATTGAAAAGTAGAAGAAGTTAAACTTTAAAAAGCTTCAAAATCAAAATAAATAATTATTAAAATAATAAAAAAAAACTTCATCACAACTTAACTGGATCTCCATCGTGAGCACAAGCCACGTTGCTAGAAACAAAATGATTGGTTGCTCCCATCATCGCCATGAATAAAAGATTTTGGTAATTGAATGGCCTTGCAAAAGCCGCCTAAATAATGTGAAGGTTGTCACGCATAAATATGTCATCAGCTAATCAAAATAGAAGAAGCCCTTAACTAAATGTAAAAAATAAAAAAAAAATAGAAAGAAAAGACTAAAACACCCTTGAAACCAACCTTATTTTTTTTAATTCAGGATAATTATGTAATTTAACTGTTTATAAAATTAAAAAGATAAAGAAGCCTCTCTATTTTGTAATTTATAGATAATTTTATAATAATATTAGGTCTAGCAACTAAACTGGACCCAATATCATATAAGCTGAATTCAATATTATTGGATCTGATAGCCAAGCTAAACTTGACAACTTTTGGAATAAAAAACAAAAAAGATAACACCTTCGATATTTTTAAGTTTATTTACTAAATCAAACTCAATATCATTATGTTTGGTGATCAAGTTAAACCCTATAATTTTTTGAATAAAAAATAAAAAAGACAATGATTCTAATAATATTGACTTTGGTTATCAAGTTAAATTCGATAGCATTGGGCTTGTGGCCTTGTCTAACCTAATAATTTTTTATATAATTAAAAAATAAAAAAGATAATGTCTTCTTAGCCTTCTTGATATCTATAATGTTATTTATAGTATAAATATTTTATATCTAAAGTATGATTTACAGTGTAACGAGTTTATGTATATAATATTTAAACCGTATTTTTCCATTCTAAATTACGGTATAATTTTTAAATGATTTCAATTAAAATTGCTTCTCTGGATATGATTTTTTATACAGTAAAGAGATGAAAGGACTTATTAAGACTCGCTGTCCATGGGGCATTTCTATGCTATAAAATATCGAAGGAAAAACAAGCAGTATGGAACTATTTCGTATAAGCTGCGAGCAGTGCAACCTAGCTATTTGAATTGTTTCGCTCCGCAGTGCAACCAGTTTGAATTGTTTTTCTTTTTGCCATGAACTCTTTAAATCTCAGGAATCGATTGACTAGGGTTTTTCACTGGCCAGAGAGTGAGAGTAAGAAACAGTCGGTGGCCCCCGGAAGTGGAGAGAGAAGGTGGTTTTGGTAAAAACAGAGGACCGAGGGAGAAGAACAATGCCTAGACATCACTGTTTTTTCTCTCTGTCTTTGATGTGCTCAATATGGTGGGTCCTGTATAGTTTGACAATCTGTAGTTTTGGTCGCCGACATGATATCTGGATGGTAAAATTTACTGACAAACGGTGCCTGGTGGTCTTTTTCTCCTCTCGCTTTCGTATCGAAACCCTTCCTCCGAAAGAATATGAGCCCACAGCCACGGCCACACCCACACCCACCGCCATCTATCATTTTCCAGCTTCGAAATTGCCTTCACCTCTTCTGGGTCGTGCTAGACTTGAGAGAGGAAGATCCAAATGTGAATCCACTGGGGGACATGAAAATCTCTGTATTGATAGGCTTGGGTGGGACCATGTCCATATGAGAGTACCCTTTGAGCGGTCTGCCTTGCCGGGAAAGGACTTTTGAACTTTTATTGGACTGGCTCCACCGTTAATATTATTATTTCGGTTGTATCTGAAACTGTGGTGACGGTGGTGATTGTGATGAAAGTTTAAAATATATTTTTATTTAAAAATAAATTAAAATAAATATTTATTTATTTTTTAAAAATTATTTTCACATCAATACATTAAAATAATCTCAAAATATAAAAAAATTATTTAAACAATTTTTTTAAACAATTTACATTACCATCCTAAACACACTCTTCGTCACTAAAACTTTCAAATATCATATCTCATCATTACCTATAATAATATTGTTAATTTGTAGTCACGAGATAATATGATTTCGATGAGCAATAGTGGTGTGGGTATTTCCAGCATGTTAGCGACTATAATAATTATATAATTTGTAATCGCATGCATAATTTTGATTTCATAGAAGTCAAGCCTTAGCTGTTGATGAGTCTAGCTTTATTCCAGTTTAAAACTACATACAATATCGAAGACAACTGTTGCCGGCGACCCCTTAACTCTTAAAAAAAAAAAAAACAATTGTTGTACCCTATTATTGATCTCAATGCTTTATTTATATATTAATTGTAATATATATGATATATTTTGCAATAAAATATTTTCTTATATTTGATAAAATATAAAAATATTAATTATAGTAAGAATATATAAAAAACATAATTATATATTAAATTATATAATTATCGATGGTAATATCTTTTCTCATAATCTAGTTAAAAAAACAATGTTTTATTTGTATACCCCAGTAAAAAATAGACATGGTAATTATAACAAGAATATAATTATTTTTTTCTTAATTGAAAGTCAAATATTGTTGTTCTAAGATCATTATATATATTTTTATTCTTACTTTGTCAAATTTAAAACATGTTAATTAGCATGCAATAGATATACTATATTATCTCTTCTAAATAAATAAACTGAGCATTAAATTGAACAAATGTCTTGTAACCATAGATATTAAATTAAATAAATAAATTATTGAGATCAATAATTAGACTCAATGTTTTCTCAATTAGGTGCAAGAATCACACTTTTGATCTAGTTGTTAAGCACTTAATATCGCTGTTTTTTAAGGTTAAGGGTTGGCTCAAGCAATTAATATAACATATTGATTTATCTATAAAAGATAATATTTACATTTCAGATAATAAAAAAAAAAAAGAGGGACAACTTTGTTATCTGTAAATAAAAAAATTTAGGGTGTTTTGTTTACTTAATTCACAGATTTTTTTTAAAAATAATTTTTTTTATATTATTATTTTTTTATGTATTTATGTATAAAATATAAAAATATTATTTTAATAGATTAATAAAAAAATTTTAAAATCAACCATTAATTAAAAGTTGAAAAACCCGTCGACAGCAGGATTCGAACCTGCGCAGGCAAAGCCCAACAGATTTCGAGTCTGTCTCCTTAACCACTCGGACATATCGACTGGCCTTCCGTGTGGCCTAAACAATATACATTGATAATAAAAACATAACGGGGCCCACATGGCCCTCTAATAGACGACATACATGGTGGGGAAAGAGCTGCGTCCCTTAAATTACTCAGAATATTCATTTTAGTATTCAGTAGCCTTTGTGATTCCAGCTGTCCAACCCTTTTGAGACATTTGCCCACATGTATTATTGATAACGCTCTCTTTGCTTCCCTAATTTTTAAAACCTCGCTAATATTCTAGGAGATTAAATAGTTTAGCTGATAATTGCTTCAGGTATAATTTAGCTCTAGCATGATTGAGGTGTGATGGAACACCCAGGTCATTAGGTAAAGGTGCTCAGTTTTAAATTAATCTGTCCTCCATAGCAGTGACAGCCGAGTCTTGCTAGCGGAGGATAGGATCCTTAGGACGAAAACTAAACCGCTGGACCATCCCACTCAGGTGGATACATCTCCACCTGATGGATGCCGTGCAGGTCATCTAGTCTATCAGTACCATTCTTAGCATCAGCTATCCACTGTTCTGCTCAAGTGGGTGCATCTCTATCAAGGTGTCATATTAGATCACTGCAACAAACCACAGGACCGCCTATTATCAAGCACAATACAGGCTACAAGTATTCATCGAGACACATACTTGTTGCTGAATTGATAAATATATACAGACAAAATATTATCTAACAGCACCCCAACCCGCAATCACAAAACAACGTTATCTGGTAGTAAATGACAACATCAATTGTTTTCAGGCGAGAAAGGGGGGTGGCAACTTCAGACATGCACTTAGCTGAGGACTGCTGACTTGACAGCATTAATAGCGTGCCGACAGCAACGCAATCAAACTGGAAAGTATATGGAATTGAGATGCACGCATGCTGAAGCAGCTCTGATCGCCTTATACTGCATCCACAATGATATTGCTGATTTAATCTGTTCCAATAGCGTTGATATAATGGTATCCCTATAGCAAACTGGAGGGATTGATTTTGCTTTTGGCCTTTGGATGGAATAACCAGATGGTTTGCTGCAAGCTTTGGGTGTGGCAATGTCTTTGTAGGCCTTGCAGAGGTATGTTATGAAGTCTTCATAATCCCAAAAAAAAAACAGAGTAATTCCTGAATTCCACCAAGTAATCTTTTAAAAGTAGAAAAAGAAAAGGAAAGAAATCAATAACTTGTGAACAACCATCAATTGTTCATAAGTTGAGATCATCACAAATAGCAAAATTGCATGTAAAATCGCAGAAAGTCTTGGTGGCAAAAATACGAAGTCCACAATCAATAACCATTTCTTATGGTCACAGGTAAAAGAACAAACCTCATAAAGTGGCTGCCCATCAACCACCACCCATGGCACATAATTATGTGGAGGCTCAGGGGCATTTGTTTCAGCTGCATATTTTAATTCAAGCTGCACAGAGGTACCAAGTATAGATCCAATCAGTTATGCATGGATCACAATTTTTGTCCCACCAAAAAATACCATAATAACATGAGGAAAAGAAACATTCGGAAGTCAGCAGAACATAAGACAACGAACTTTTAGGTGGAGGGCCAAACTGAAATACAGATAACCACGCAACAGGTGGGAGAAAGACACCAAAGATGGCATTACCACCATACACTTAAATTTCAGAACTGAGTTATAGGTTTCTAGTTGCATGATCTTTTCTCTCAAGACCATTTGATTCAAGTAAGCATTGCTTCAGGCTTTCCTCGCTGTTGCCAGACAAACTTTAAAGAGTTCTAAAGCAATTAAAATCACCACAGCATTTTCAGTACTTCTGTTCCAGTTCACTTTCGCCTCGCTGTCTGTTTCCTGTCTAGCCCAATTATCCCTTCTTTTAAACAGTATAATTGTTCTTCTGATATCTAATGAGCATGATTTAAACTTCTCTTATCCATGCTTCCGGGTTTAGAAGGCCTATAATCTATAGGCAATATATTCCTGGCAGGGTAAAGAAAACAGAAACGATTTCCATACCCACATAAAATCAATTCAGGAGATAAACTCACAGTAGCAAGAATCACAAGATCAAAATCTACCTTCTTAATACATTTGCTTCAATCAAAGGTCTTTCCCAAATAGTGACCCAGAAAATAGGAAGTTTAGACAAATAATCAGTAACAACGCTTAATCCTAATCAGCATCTATAACAAATCACAGTCAACACTTTATTGGAGCTTCCTATCATCTAACAGTTATGAAATCAAAGCCTTAACTTCATTGTGTCTATATAAAACACCTTCAGTTTATACGCAATACGCAATATACAATATCAGCTTCATCAACCAGATACGAAGTCAGTACGTTTCAATGATCTATTAAAAAAACCAGCTGTTGGTTCCTGTAAACTAAGAGTAGTCACCACATTTAGAGATCTGTTCTTGGTAACTTCATTTCTTAGTTCATAGAGAGAACGGTTTCAGAAAATACCCTCCCACGACTTGAATTAACCAACTACAAAAGCAAAGTAAATCTAACAGTAAAATAACATCATCGCCATATCCACCACCAGTATAGCACTCAGAAACAGCCCTTGGATCCAAACCCAATTCCTTGAAGCAAGACTCCCATTCTGGGTACTTCCTCTCATAAACCAATCTCTCGACACAGTAAGCAAAAGGAAAATGGTCTTCCTGCATCATAAACATCACAGTTTTAAGACAAAGACAAGCGAAACACACAGTTACAAATACTGGGCGCGTTAATTATCACATGAACTTATTAAAACCAAATCAAAACACACTTGAAGAAGCTAACGAGTCTAACCAATTTAGGCCAGGCATGAACTGCACAAACTTCCACTGTATTCAATAAGCATTCATATGGACCATGCTGCGATTTAAACATGAAAGAAACAAACTTTATTAGCTTAGCAATTCCTTGCTGATAAAAAAGATTTGGTCTTTCAAAAGGATAATAGTCAATGAAGTAAAAGCTCAAAAGTTTTTTTTTTTTTTTAATAAGAACCTGGCAAAAAAAGGTGTCGTTTCCTCTGAATTTGGCATTACCCCAAGGAGAGAGGTAAAGATTAACGATTGAGAGAAGCTCGTCATCTTCAACGAGCTTGTTAAGGTAACTCACTATGGAATTAGCGCTGTATGGACATAGAGATTCATAGTACAGTGCCAGGAAGACTTTATCAGTATTTGAAGGGAGAATTGTTGTAGAAGATGAAGAGAATCAAGAGGTAAGTGAGGAAAGAGAGGGTTGTTGTTAGACGAGAAACCATCACTGAAAGCTTTTGATATTTGCTGCTTTGTTGTTTGCTTTAATTCGAAGAAGAGGAAGATAAAGGAGCTAGTTGACGTTTTTGGATGTGAAGCTGGAGCAGTGCAAAGAGATTTTTTTCGGTGACAACCAGATGGAATTTGTAAGTTTTTGTTGGCTATCCCTCCCACTGGTTAAAACGGTCCATTTCTGTTATCCGACAAAGATTCAATGTTTTTTTTTAAGACCCGGCCTTGCCAACTTAATTAACAATATGTCTTATTAGCCGTATATGTTATTTTAATATATATTTGAAAATACTAAAAAATAATTTAAAATAAAAAATATTATTTTTCAAAAATAATTTATCACTATAAAAACAAACCTTACCTTAATCTACTCATGTTTTTAAAAACTAAAAAATATTAAAGTAAAAAATATTTGTAGATTTAAGTTAATCTAGTATGTGTTGGATAATGTACAGTTTTTTTAATTATTTTTTATTTTAAAAAACATCAAATTAATATTTTGAGGTGTTTTTTTATAATTTTAATATATTAATGTTAAAAATAAAATAAAATAAAATATTATTTTAATAGATTTTCAATTAAAAATATTTTTAAAAAATATTATATAATGTATTACTAAAGACACACCTCGTATCTCTGATCTTATGCATGGAATGACCCACACCTTCTATATGGGTTAAACATCCATGCTTGATTCCCTTTCTAGGTGACGTTTGATATAAAGTAGTTGGGTAGGTCTAACCTATAACATGAACATTAGCCCATGATTGAATTAATGAGGCAATGGTGTGAAGTATTCGCTCCGATATGGTAGTGTGGCATAAATAGAATTGAGCTGAAATTTATTATTATTTTTGTTAACCATAATTTTTTAAAAGTTTTGGATTGTTTTGATGTGTTAATATTAAAAATAAATTTTAAAAAATAAAAAGTATTTTAATATATTTTTAAATAAAAACATTTTATAAACAACCTTTATTGTATTATCAATACTCCCTTCATGAAAATGGTTACTGTTAGCAAGAGTTGGTCTTTCTTTCATGTGTTGATCACCCGAAAGCGTGATGGGAGAAAGAAAAAAAAGGGGAAATTCTTTCTTGGTTCGATTCTGCTGTTGTATTCTTAGTAGTTAAAAAAAGAAAGCAAGGTTTGGGGACGTCAGATGTGCTCTCCGGATTGTTCTTGAGTATTATAGTTATTAAAAAAAGTGGCATTTAAGGTAAAATCTCACAATTATAATATACTTTGTGATAAATTCAAATTTAAAATGCTCATAAAACTCTCTAAATTACCAAAAAAAAAAAAACTTTAAATACCCCAAAACATGAAAACTATTTTGGATCTAAGGTGTATAGACTTGAGTATCGTAGCTTATTTATATGCTAGGCGCACGCCTAACAATGTGTGATATGTTTATAGTGTTAAACACCTCAATATCAACATAGGCTTGGATTGTTATATCCAAGCCAAATATATTTGGATTCAAAGAATATGCTTGGATCTATTTTTTATTTTTAATAAACTCAAATACTTTATCTGATTTCAACATTTCATTAAGAAGTTTTTTAGGACTCTACATAGATTTCTCAATATTTTATATTAATTCAATATATATTATTTTGAGTAAAATACAATTCAAGACATTAGAATAATAGAATTATACTTTAGCCTCTTCCTTTTATAAAAGAACAAGACTCATAAGATAAAAAATATACTATGAATCATTTAAACTTAAAATTTACAATTTTTTCATTTTAAATATTTTTAGAATATATATTTTTAGAGTCTATCTTTCTAAAATATCATTGTACTTTCTCTTTTTAAAAAGATATTTATCAAAACATCTAAGAGTTCTAAAATCTATATAAATTTTTTTTTTTACAAATACTAGTTATCTTGATATACCAATCATTAGATACAAGCTACCAGCCATCTTAATTAAAAAAATAAATTAAATTATTAAAATTAAAAAATTAATTGATTATTCAATATATAAATTTAAAAATTAGTATCTTTGGGGCTCATCATTTGCATATGTATGGAGATTTTGGAAATTCTTGGATTACCATGATAAAACATATTTAGCAATGCACATAACTTATATCACTATCAATATTTTTTTATTTATCAAATTATTGTTAAACTTGAGTAAAATGTATTTACCAATATATTTTGTTTACCAACATTATTTTCTTGATATAATGGATTATTTAAGAATTAGTATTTTTTCTAGTTGTACTTTGTGATTGATGTATGTGTTTTACTTTATTGTTTGTTTGTAATACTTGATTTACGCTGTTATAATCTAGTTTATTTGACAAGTCAATATATTGCAAAGTATGAACACGTACTCCCAAATTCCCCACTCAAATATAAAAAGATTTTTTTTTCTTTTATATTGAACAAAGCAGTAACATTACAATTCCTTGATTAAAGATTGCTCTGTTCAGTTCTAAATCAATGAAAGAAAAAGCTTCTTCTTTTTTTAATATCAAAATCCCATTGGATTAAAGAAAGAGTTTGAAGTAATAACTTGGTTTTGTTAACAAAAAAGAGGGTATTAACTCGACTTGACAACACAGAGCACAGATATCTGAAAGGAGCTAAGAAGAAAACACCAGAGACCAATCAAGCAAGCACTACTAGTTTGAATCAACATCTCTTTTTTTTCCCCGAATTCACATTTTGTTCCCGAAAACTCTTCGCCTGACACTTTTTTGTAATTCTATGTTTCGCCTTGTCCAACTGTGATGAAGAATGGTGACCTAATTTACGTCTTCGAACTGATCTTGATGCATGATGCAGTGAATACTGGTGGCGGCTTTGAAACATTGTGATTTCACCGAAATGAAAAGCTTAATAGTTTGAAAGGGAGAGAAGCCAAGTCCTCTGCTACATTTTCTTTTAAGGGTAATTTTAGCAATTCAAATCAGAGTTGTAAAGATAACAGCACCCATACTTGATCGGTTGAACCAGCAAAAGTCTACACACTGACAGAGTTGAATACAAGCTCTTGAAGAATAATCTCTCAAGTCTAGACAAGACAAGTGAGCACTAGTCACTCGTTATTAGAAACTGTAACAGATATGGAATTTATAAGATCACACTGGATATTCTATTGTGATGTATCAGCTAAATGGAAAAATGAAAAGATTATACGAGACATGTATGTATGTTCAATGTCGTTCCGCCTCATTGCGGGGGCAAATTAAAATGGATTGAAAAGGAATGCAAGGAAAAACTACAATTTCACTGCAAGCTGCAAGACTGCTAGTTCTCTAATCCAAATCCAGATGATCTAAGGTCTGCAAAACTGGAGCCGGGTACTTTGTCCACTCAAGTATGTCTGTCTAGGAACTTCTCTATCAAAACAGAGAATGCAGCAAACCCAGCACAACCAACACATGCTGCTTTCGGGCCACCTAAAAAACATGGCAGAAGGGTAAGATAGGTCAGGTTGAGCAAGGCAAACTGCCATGAGGTCAGGTAAGGAACGACAGTCTCTTCATGAATTAAACAGAAAAGGGCAAGAACACAGCGAAATCACATTATTGGTTTTTAGAGCAGAAGTGGATAGCTTAAAGCCAAGTAGCCATTGGCAGACCATTTTAGAGATGGTTGCAAAATTAGCAGCTTGAAAACTCAAAACTCACACCGTTTCCCTAAATAATTCAACACCAAACCGCAACTGAAACAGTAGAGGGCACAACTAAACAGTGTTGGTGCAAGATTGATAATTTCTCAACATCACCGAATGTCATTGCCAAAGCTAATAAAACTCAAAATCCACAAGCAGAAACTTCACAGTTTAATTATCCATGCCTTCAATTTATTCAAGGATAGCATAGTTGGATAGTCTGGTGATGCCAAAACAGAGAAGCTTTTATGTATTGATATTCCAATTCCATCTCAGAAAACCAAAAGGAACTGGCACTGGATATCATAAAATAGTTGAAGAGAATGAAAAGCAGATGATTGAAAGGTTCAAAAATGTAATTCTGAACCTAAAATATGTTCGTTAAAGATAGTCATTCAATCAGGATGCAGGTAGTCACACTGCCAGTATTAAGTTGATTAATGCGCATTACTCAAAATAAACCAAAACTATGATAATAATTGATGATGCAATTAAAACTGTATGGCCACTCTAATTAGTCCATTCACACTCTTAAGAGACTAACAAAGACCAAAACAACCAGGCTCTTGCATGGGTAATTAACTGAAAGCCATCAAAACATAACAAATTAACAGAAGTTTGAAGTCAATGAATAAAAGAGGAAAGTTCCTAGCAGGAACAGCAAAAGGCGAAGCAGCTCCCTTCATTAGCCACGTAACAACAAAAAAAGACAGTGAGGTGATGCAGGACAGCCTAGGGGATGTTCCAAATCTGACTTTTAAATGCTGTTTTAGGGCTGTTAAAACTGTGCTGATGTTGATTTGTGATGGAATATGAAGAAGGATTTTGATAGATGCTAGGAGTTGCACCTAAGGTTCTTAAGAGTCACGCCTAAGGTTCTGATTAAGTCCCGCAATCAAAGCAAAATTGCTGCTTATTGAAAGAGAGCAGCCAGTTCCATCAAGGACATGGATTTCTAAGCCCCTAACATAAGTATTCCTCTTTAGCGTAGGAAAACCTAATAACTTTAGGACTAATAAAATAAAACACTTTCCGCACCCAATATTACAGCTACCATGACCTTCTTTCTCAAGGATGAGGAAGGATTTTTTGTTATAGAGGGGATAAAGATTTTCTTCACCTAGTATTATGATTATTAGAAAACCTCAACTAGTTTACAAAGTTTTAAGATAAAGGATTAGATATGCTATATGGAAGATGCTATCATCGTAAAATATTCCACCTAAGATAAGTTGCATTGTTAATCTTGTTTTCTATTCCTAACAATTTGCCATGCCTAATCTACCATGTGTGTGTGTCTATATATATAGGTGATAGTGAATCTATTGTAATGAGTTAAACCTTGAGTGATTGGTTTAAGCCTAATCATTCACAAGCGCAATACATCTTTGTCATTCTCATTTACAATATTTTGATAATACTTGGTGAATTGACATGTATACAGTTGGTGACTTTTAATCATGACCTATGACCAATAGTCTATCAATTTATGTCAATGAATAGCCAATGGGTTTATGTTAGGCTCATAGAACCCAACCCAAATCTTAAAAAAGATCCATGGATAATGCTTTGTTAAGATTCATTTATATTATAGTACCTAAGATTCATTCGCAATATTTGTTAAATGAATGAAGATTGTACGCCTCAGTTCTGCCTGAGCATGTCTATCATGGGTATATTTATTTGAAATAGGATTTACTAATATGAAGATCCTTTATGGACTAAATTGTTTTCACAATAAACCTTTTGGGGTTTATTTTTTCATGTGATGTGTTATTTTCAGTTTTTTATTGGTTGCCCCTTATCAATGTCAGTACACATCGGTGCTATAACTCGTATATGTACAACCACAACAAGTAGACAATTTATTCAAAACCAACATATTCATATCACACATTAATGAATCACCTTGTCATCTCCAATTGCCACCTGAGAGTAACAACCTTCAAGAGTTCATTATATTAGGAATCGTTGATGGATGACTGATCTAAAAGGTATAATGCATTTAAAAAAAAAAAATTACTTTTGAAAATTAAATTATAAGTTGAAGGTGCTATTCCCAATCAACATTCAAAGTATGACTTATTATAAGTTCATTTGCCTTAAACATTGAATTTTTTTATTGAAGATTAAACAAATGATTTTGGGAAAGAAGTATTTATGAAAATATTGGAATGTCAGCCTTTTAATGTGGGCTGAAACCTTTAATGAATTTTGTAACCAAGATACAAAACTCATCGGATATGAATATACATGCATGAATAAGAAAAAAAAAATTATGTTATTTGAATCGAATAACAATGTGAATATGCTTCTCACACATAAAGAAAATGACACTAAAATGTTTGAGATGACTATGAGATGACCAATACACATAAACTAGCAAGATACAACTTGAGGGATTTGACTGAAATGCAAACAAAAATATCAATCCCATAGTAAAAATTATTCAATTAAAAACCTCATTGATACATATCAAAATCAACAAAAATCAAAATAGTCATTCAAAAGATCTTTGGAGTTTGAAATTGATCTTCAAGGAATGGGATGAGGTTTGAAAAGCTGCTAGAATAGTCAGGGGCGATGCTAGATAGCGTTGTTGTTGTTGTTGTTGCTACGTAGTACTATTGTTGTTTCTTCCGCAATATTCCGCTGGATTTAGAGCATCAAAACTACATAATTTGGAGTTGTAAACCTCACAAAAATTTTAGATCTTCTTCTAAGCTTTTAAACGCATCTAAGCTTGCTTTTTTTCTGACATCTATAACTCTAGATAGAGGCCAAAAACCCAAACAAAGTCTAAGCTGAAATGAACTTCTTGACAGATTCTAACTTTTCTGTTTCGTCCATGTTCTGAGATCAAAACAGCAGGATTGAGTCTTAAACTCATTACAAAAATTTAGATCTATGTCTTATCTTTCCATTAAGCCAAAAAAATCTAAAATCGAGGAGTGTAGCTCCAATTATAATCCAGAAACCAAGCAATGATTTGGATGGAGTTTTCAAGGCTGTTACGTGGGGTTATAGCTACAGTTTTCTAGGTTGTATGGTGAGGTTTGGAGGCTGATTTCAGGGCTGGAAGATGGAGGAAGTGGTGCTGGAAAATGATGAAGAGGGAGATGGGAAAGGCTGTCAAAAACCTTTTTTTGACACGACACAAAAAATACAATGTAAACTCGGATCATAAAAATAAATCGTAAAATTCAAGGTAATTTCATCAATAAAAATGTTGTGTGCTTGTTCTTACATGATAAAATCTTATCACACAAGATCCAAGAAAAAAAGTTGTAAGTGGTTGGTAAGACTCTGTGTTTAAGAAAAAACATTAAAAATAGGTATATCTTCGCAACTATGCTCCTTTATTGGCCAGCACCAATTCCAATCCTCCCTCCAAATGCATAACCATGTGTAGTGTTTTAGCTTATCCGACATATTTTGTCTCAATGAATAACACAACACTTTTAGATATTATTATGCTTTCTTTTAGATATTGCTATCATTTCATAAGTTTCAGATATTGTTTGTTACACATTGTGAATATCAACAAATGAATCAATAAAGAATTATAGGCTTTGTATGAACCAAAACGAATGAATCAAACAATTCAAAATAGTATCTTTTTTTTAATCTTGAATTTTGGATCCTTGTTAGATCATATCTTAGACAAGTTATAGGATTTTCTATAGAGAAATCATAATGCCGTAAACTTATTTAAGAGACTATGGTATTTAGACATAAACACACGGTGGATCAAACTCCAGAGTATGATTTGTTACTCTTGTCCGTAAAAATATCTCTATAGAATAAGAATTTGCAAAGTTTTGTTCCATAATAGATAATGTTTTATTTGTTAGGAAGGGTTTAAGCAAGATGATGTTTCCTTCATCATTGATTGGAAAAAAAAAATCATGGATACATGTGTTTGTGAGGCTCATGCATTAATGTATGCAACAAGGAAGATAAAAATTGAAAATTTAGAATTATTGCAAAATCATAAAATTGGTAGGAAGTAAAATTGGTAGGGAAATTTTAATCAATTTTACTGATTTTAAATGATTTTACACGATTCCAATCCAATTTTTTCATTTTTTTAATTTTTATGTGATTTTACATGATAAGCATATGTTGACTTATAAATTTTACGAGTCAACACACAATTTTAACAACCTTAGAGATGGGTTTTCACCTTGGTAAGGAGTGAAGAGTTTGTTGTTTTTTCTTCCTCTTTATTTTTTATGACTAGAGTTTTTCTTTCAAATTTCAGTACACTTTCTCTTCTTTTTTCGCTCTTTCTCTCTTTATCTCTTAGTGGCTAGGGTTTGTGGTGGAAGAGATAAGGCTAGGGATTTTATATAGGAGAGATAAAGTTAGGTTTTTTTGTGTGGTGGGCTTCTTTCGTCTACAATTCACTCATCTATTTATAAGCCACAAATTTTATCTTCTATTTAGTTGCTTGGTCTCCATATAACCCAATTTATTTTGTTTTGGTCTCTCATTTCTCTTGTTTTATAGCTTTTTTAATTACTTGGTCCCCCAAGCAACTCCATTATATCTTGATTCCTCTTTTTTTTTGCACTTAAGTCCCTTGTCCATTTTGCTCCCTATTTTGATTTTGATTTTCTCATTTTAGTTTTTTTTTTAAAAAAACAACATTAATGTTAATTTGATAAGAAAAGTGATCAAGAAATACGAAATGAACACGAACACGTCAAAAACATATTTCTTTGAATTTGATTTTTTTTATAAGACATCAACAAGAGAAAATAATTGAGAATTACAAAAAGGACGTGTGAATAGATATAAATAACTATAATTTTCAGATTTTCCACATCTGAAAATTACTAAAACACCCTTGTATTCTATAGTTGAAATAGACCACATAAATCTTATTCTTTTTGCCTGCATCATCAAAGTTTTCCTAGAATTTCCAGCAAACAGAGAAATTACAGAGATACCCTTGTCTATAAAAAGTCACCAATCTTGCTTCTTTTGTTGTCCGCATCATGAGGTTATGCCCTTCTACCGCCGTATTAAAACACTACTTAGTTGGGAGTATAGGGACAATAGTCGGGAGTATAGGGACAATTCGGAGCATAAGGAAAAATTGGAAAGGTGAAGAATGAAAACGAATCCATCCTTCTAGTAGTTTAAATGAGGGGAAAAGGTAATCAAAAAGATCCAAATGATGTAAAATCAGGAAAAAATTTCATCTCATTTGTGTCTCTTTTTCAATGTTTCCAATTTGGAAGGATTGGAAAACTGAAGATTGATGGAAGGAAGGTATTCTTCTGTTCCTTTCTCAAGAATGCATCTATCCTACCAAACAAGGTGAGCACCTCTTCCCTCCCTCAACAGTATACACCCCATCCACTCTCCTTCATTTCCACCCTAATGAACATAGTGAATGGTCAAAATACCTAGAATATGTGATCACTACTATTGTGCTGGTATAAAATTTTCCACATTTTCCTGAACGTGTCCCTCTGGTTTCCTAACAGATAAATTTCCTTTGTTCCTTTGAAATTGGTTTGAAAGTGTATGCATGTTTACTGCAGATGTTGTTCCGTTTCACTAACAAGAAACTATAGGTAAATATAGTCAGGATTTTCATATGCAAAATAGGTTAATTTCATCAAACTTTGATATGACAAGTGATTTTATCCTTTTGGCCACATGAATTGCAAGCTATGATAAAGCACATGGATTCAAAAAAGTCAGCACAAAGGAGATTTAAGGAACATCTTTTATAAGCCATGAGGAGGAAGTGGATTGATAGGATGGTATCAGGAACCATGAGCTAACATATTTGAACCTCTACGACAAGCAAGTGCTGAGTTTTATAAATTAACCCAACATCTTGACTACTAATCTCAACCTGAATGCAGTTAATATGAAAAAAGCATTGAACAGCAGCAAAGTAAGAGATCACCTTTTGCTGACATTGTACCTCCAGTGACACACCCAGCAACAACGGTATTAGTGGTGTCATGTTTTGCCCGGGCCTAAAAACAATCAACAAATTAAACTCCTATGGATTTTTAAATTTCAAAGGTACATAAAAATCAACCATTTTATAAATAAAGTCTCCTTGGTATACCACCTTTTCAGTGACACACTCAGCAGCTGAGAAAACCAAGCCCATAATTGCAAAAGCTTTACAAGAACTCCAACTCCTCCGTCCCATTTGCTTCGCGGTATAAATAAATTGCTGTCTTCCTGTCATCTCATCTTGCATGATGGGATTATCCAATGCACCTAGAAACAGTCCCATGAACAACCCCAGCCCACCTCCTACATATAAACACATTATCATATTACTTGAAACCACAGATTTGAAAACACTCTACTTTTATTGAAGGTGAAATTTCTAAAAGGATGATTCCTTCCCCTTATTAGGCTATCTTTCAAGATCAAATGCACAACTAAACCTTTTGGTGGTATGGAGTCAAATGATAAAAAATTCATTTGTAATGGATAGCACTACGGATAAACCAGATATAACAGTTCAGTTGTTCCTTGATTGGATCATTAGCAAAAAAATGAATTTTTGTAACAGAATAATAGGTTCTCCAAGCCCCTTGAAAATTCATCGTAGAGCCGCCCCGCCGACTGGAAAACTTAGGGGAGCTCCTGTGTCAATCACCACCGTTGAATTCAAAGCTACGGTGCAAACTCGATTATTTCCTAATAATTGCTATACTACCGAAAGTATCTCGACCCAATCAATCATAAAGCCACCCAAAAAAATTTAAAATTTCTCATTCAGAGGCTAGAATTGTTAGATATTCAATTCATCTATTACCACTATAACTATATAAGAGCTTATTATCGAAAGCACGAACAAAACAAAACCCCATTAATTTCAGTGTCTTGAGAAAACAAGAACGAAGGCAATTTAATCAGTCAATCCTCACCCATGACTCCACTAGCAACACTGCGAACAGCACAGTTATTCCAAACGTCTTGGGCACGAACCTCTTCTATTGTAGGCATTCTAAAAGGTTGAATTTGCGTGGGTGTTTCTCCATCCTTTGAAGTCGAAGAAGAAGAAGAAGAAGAGCACCGCCATTATTATTGGATTCACTTCCTGGATTCTCATTGCTAGCCATAGATAAAAATCATACAAACAAGAACCCACCAAAGTGAATAAAAAAAATTAAAGGCTAAAAAATAATTAAAATTTATATATCATGGAGGTTAAAATGGGTTTGGGGCTTAGCGGCCATTTAATGAACGGTGTTGGGGTTCAGCTGAGGTTTTAGGGAAGCCACAGGAAGAGGAAAGTTCCGAGGTTTCTTCGTTGGCTGCAAGAAGTTGCTTAGGTGTATATGCATTGCGCGATGGATGTGAAGAAGTAAACCATTATCTCGGTGAGGTTGTAAGTCACCGTCAGGCGTGCTTTAGCAAAATGACTTTCGATTGGAATATTTCTGTTTCGTGGTGAAAAAAAAAAAAACCTTGACAATATATTTTTCAGA